CACCTTCTGCATTTAGACTAGTGTTGGTGGAATAATATATGTTTTATACTGTTGTGCATTTCTCTAAAAGTTTATTTGCTATTATACCATATAAGTGAATATATGATTTGTTATGTTGTATTATATTTCTTTCTTTTGACTTGTGTATATGGCGCTGGTTTTGGAGGCATAGTGAGAGATGGACGAATAAGCTACAAGTCACACTCGGCAATCATTTAAAATACCGATTACTATGTATTTTAAGAAAGGAAAAGGGGAGAGATTGTTATAGAATGCAAAGGCCAAGGCCAGAATGCTTAGCGAATGGGCGCAGTGACTCGTGGGAATCCTGACAGTGATGGGTTACTTTTGTTTGGGTTTATATAAAATATAAGCTCAAAACGACGTGAATTCAACAGAGGTTCTCGAGAATTCTGACACGTCGATATGCCTCCCACACCCAGGAGGTACGCTAAGCCAACGTGCGATATGCGTTCCAGTCACGTCAATCCTACTACTGCTTCTTATAATCCAAGCAGTGAGGTTTAATAAAACGAATACCAAAAGTAAATGACACTTTTCGTTGACACAGTTTTTCTTAATAGCGAAACAAAAGAAACATGTAACAGCTACACGTTTGGCTTTGAACAATTGCATTTTGTGTTCGTGTAACAAGTTATCATAAAGAACGATATGTCACTAGAATAAGTTGAATGAAATGACCCAACTCGAGAAATCGACTTCGAGGGATACTGAGAATACCAATACTCGGTAGAATCCGGGGGAAGTTTTTAAACCTTGTGCATTTAAACGAGTGTTGGTGGAAGAATAAATGTTTTCTACTGTTGTGCATTTCTCTAAAAGTTTATTTGCTATTATACCATATAAGTGAATATATGATTTGTTATGTTGTTTTATATTTCTTTCTTTTGATTCGTGTATATGGCGCTGGTTCTGGAGGCATAGCGAGAAGATGAACGAATAAGCTACAAGCCATACTCGGCAATCATTTAAAATACATATTACTACGTATTTTGAAAACGAAAAACAGGAGGTAATGTTACAGAATATGAAGGTCAGGACCAGAATAATCAGCCATTGACCGGAGTACCTCATGGCCGTCCAATTCTGACATTGATGAAATTATCTGTGTTTTGGATATAAATCCAAAACGCCTCCCACATCCACATTACCGACCGGCTAAGACCAACTACGGACGAAAGGTAAGCCAACGTGCAACATGCGTTCCTGTGACGTCATTCCTACTACTGCCTGTTAGAATCCAAGTCATTAGTAATTTCTTTTACAAAAATGTATCACTGGTAATATTTTTGTTTTTTTAATTATTTTACAAAAATGTAGTACTGGTAATAATTTATTTTATTTTTTACACAAATATATTACTGGTAATAATTTTTTATTTTATTTTTCTACAAACATGCATTGTTGGTAATATTTTTATTTTTTACGCAAACGCACACACACAGACACACAGACACAGACACAGACACACACACACACACACACACATATATATATATAGCACAGTTAATAGATCTGTTGATATATAATCCAGGTGGATACTATTATTATCAAATATTATAACTGATTCACAAAGAAAACTCAGTGAATTTATCATAAGAGAGCTGAGGCGAATAAAGAAAACAGTAACCAGCGAGTAAATTCAAGCTCTCCCAGCTGGTATTTCAACCTTGAGTCATTCCTTCTTGAATTCTGTCTTAAAATCACACTAACTGCCTGTTCTTGCCGCTAACCGTGAACGTCACTCGAAGAACTCCCCGACTTGGAAAAAAGTAGTTGCTTTTATAGTTGTCCATATACCCATAATCCCTTGCGTCTTCATGTGATTCCATAATTCATTGCGTCCATGTCCCATAATGCATTGCATCTTTATTGCATAAAAATGCAATGCCAGTGCCCCCTCATTCTTTTACGTTATCTGGCCGAGGATGGATTACGGCAGAGCGGTAAGTGCTTTTTTTCTCCCTCATTTCAACTGCAGTAGCTTTACATGCTGAGCAAATACGGGCTCTTTTTTGGCGGGGACAAGGCAAGTCGCGACCAGTTGTGCTCGTCCCAGGTTCTGTCTCTTGTCCGCCACAAGAGCATATATATTAAACAGCAAAAAATGCAAAATTAACTCATTTGTGTATAGCCTATTTCAACCAGCGCATCTTTTCTTCAACCCTGGACTGAATTCGTCTCGAATCATGGATATATATATATATATATATATGATAATTTCTATCATATATATATATATATATATATATATATATATATGATAGAAATTATCAGGAGGATTTGATAATTATATTTAAGTAATTCATCGAGTCTGAAAGAAACCTCAACAGAATGCAGAAAGCATTGGACGGCCGTTTCGTCCTATATTTGGGACTCATCAGCAGTGCGCATCCACTACCGAGAATTTCAAACCCTGACAGTTAGGTTGTCAAGCAAACATCATACCAACTGTTACACCAACAGTTGGTATGATATATATATATATATATATATATATATATATATATATATATATATATATATATATATATATCACTGAAGCAGGTACGATTGTACTATCATCACGACATTTTTCTATCCATTCTTGACAGTTTCCCATCGAGAGGTCTTCAGATCTTCATATATTTGCTGAATGCTTGGAATGGATGTACAGTGCTACTATTTCTTTCTCTTGGTGTTCACCACAGAATGTCATTATATAAGCTCATTCTCACTTTTCCAGGAATTATCGCCAAATGTCTGTTTTCTGCCGAATGAGTTTTGATATGGTCGATGGCCATGGAAATGTTTTTAGTGGGCTCTTGTTTTCAGGATAGATCAAATGCAGCACATAACAGACAAGGTACGATAGGTAGATTGTCGCCATTTTATATTTTAATTTCGCGTTTTTGATTTTGTCGACTGCACAGTATAGTAAGGTCAACTGGACGCCATCTATGAGAAAAGTAGCACCATGACACAGGTACTCCTACATATATTTTTTCTTCCCTATCTGCTGATTTTATAGTGGCTTGGCATATTATATTGTTCTGCAAGCAATTGCCGTTTAAGTGACATTCGTTCTTTATTCTGCAGCTACACTTGGGTTTAATTTGCTCAGGTGGTTTGTTAATTGTTTTTCTGTTGTGTTTTTTATTATTTGTTTCGTGTTCTCGGTGCACCTGTAGCTGATTTTTACTATGTTTTTGTTGAGTATCTTGTGGAGAGTGTTTGCTTCGGTGAAGTGTTTGTGTATGAGATTGATGAATAATTTTCCTACGTTTGTTTTTACGTTTTTGCCGTCCGATGGTTGAACCATATGATGTTTCTCTTCCTGTTAGCTTTTGTTTTATCTCGCATGGGTTCTGTCATAGAAGGGTAGAATTTTTTTTTATACCTAGCCGTATAGCGATTTTCTAAGCATAGCTTTGATGTGACAAAAGACTGAAAATTTGGAGCATCCAGTGAGGATTTAACTCCCCTACTCAATCATAATTGTTCCAGTGAGACAAACCTCCTAACCTTTACACCAAGTCGAAGGTCTCTCTAACTGTATAAATTGGCAATTATATTTATTTTTTAGGTTGTGGAACCAGTCTATTGTTGTTTTTGTGTTTTTTCACTGATTTACTTCTTTATCTCTGAATTAATTCTTTTTAGTGTTGTTTGACTTATTTTACCTTGACAGGGTTTATGAGTCTGCATGTTGGTTTTGTTCAGGAATTATTCTGGTGTTCTTTTAGTCCAATAAATGCTTGTGCCTTTGCGATGCAATTCATGCGGTCGTCTTGGTCTAAGTTTTGAGCGGTTGTCTTAGCTTCCTTATTGATATTGTCTTCTGTTGTTATTGGTGACTTTTTGTATGTTTTAGTTATTTTGCCCTTGAGTAATTTATTGTATTTAAGGGAGCTTAGTTCGTATAAATTTCTAGTTTTGTCGGCTGCCATAAATAAGTTTGTTGAATTGATTATTTTAGTTATATTTTATGCTAGATTTTTGTAAGGCATTTTGTTGCTTATGGAATTCTATGTTTCTAAGTTATTTCTTTCTCGAAGTTGTCTACTTTGTGGGGTCATTTTTTGGTTTTAAAGCCGTATTTTTCTTTAAGTGCTGGTGTTTGTGATGGGCTCTTGGTTTAAAAAGAAATGCGCTTTCCATTTAATTCTTTTTTATGACGCTTTCTATTTTTTCTCTTAATTTTATCTTGTATGTGGATGGCGATGGGATGAATAAGTTTTTAGGGAATAGTCCAGGCGAAATTTTTCTCTTTTCATGATGGATTATAATTATAGCGAAAGTACTCTACAGTTTATCAGGAGCTAAATATAATAAAACATAGTTTTAAGGTATGATATATTGAAGGGTCTTGTCAACAGACAAGCAATATTTATCAGAGCAAAACTTCAGTCTATCATAATACGATCGAATATATCTCTTCTTCAACAAAATTCTTTAAATCATTAAGGATTTTAAAATTTCTGCTGTAAAAAGTTAAGTAATGTGATAACAGGTGTTCTTGTTACTCAATTCTCTTCTTCTTTTATATGTCACGTCCCTTCAAGACGTTAGTGATCATGGCTCGCCATAATTTCCTCTCCATTGTACCTCTTAATATTTTTTTCCTTTTAGTTATATCTCCTAAACCATGCTCTGCCATCCAATTACTCAAGCTTGATATGCTATGCATTGTTTTCCTCTGTCGCTATTGCCTTTAATCTGTGCTGTGAGTATCAGATTTTCCAAACACTCTTTCCTCATTACGGGTCTTAGAAATTATAAGTGTCTTTTTCGTTCCCATTTTTTTTTTCTAAAACTTCGTCGTTTCTCACATGTTCGGTCCATGGTCTTCCCAGTATTCTTCTGAAATCACTGGGTCCCTTTTTCATAACCTACCGATTTGCTAATTTTCGACCCGAAAACTTTCCGACGAATGACACGTCCTACTGTAAGATCGTTGTTTTTTTTTTTCTTCTGGAGAGTTCGACTATTTAAAAGGCTTACACTGACGTTGAAACAGCGGTTCTCGTACGACCACCGAAGTTAAGCAACGTCAAGCTTTGTCAGTACTTAGATGGGTGACCGCTTTGGAATAACAGGTGCTGTAAGATTGGATGGGCGATGGGTCAAGTTTTATCAGCAAAAATTATTATCATCTCCAAAACACTTTTACAATCTAAAATTATTTTCTGGTTTTATATAACCGGCAAAAAGTCGATAATCCTTATATAGCAAATCAATCAATCGACTGTTTATATATGCATGGGAGATGTGTACCCAACAAAACAAAACAAAACAAAAGGGTCCAACTTGTTCAAGTAATTTTTGACAGTAATATTTGCACAAATGAAAAAAAATATGTATACTTTTACTGATAACTCTATCTACTTTTGATCTTGAGTGATCAATATTTTTCACAATAAGTTTGTGTTAATAGTATCAATAATTTTAGATAAATGGTTCCCTTCCCTTCAAATATTTTCCTCGTAATGGTTTTTTTTTTTTTAAAAAAAAACAACAAATTATTTTTATTGCATCTTGCTTCTCGTCTATTTTTTTTTAATTTATTTCGAATGTGTCTGGAGTTTTGTGATCAATCATTGTCATTGTTCGATGAATCATTCGGATGTATTTTTATCAACGCATTTTGACCGATAACAACGATAAAGACAAGAATTCTAGTCCGACACATTAATGATTTTTATAATATAATTAAGTGCCCAGAGACGCTCTAGTAATCATTGGGAGAATGAGACCTCAATACATGGCTGAATGGTTAAAACGTTCGCCTTCTGACAACGAGACCCGGGTTCGAATCTCAGCATGGATTTGTCAGAAAGATTTTTCAGGATAACCCAGTCCACTTAGGCAGTCTCGGATTGAGGGTGTTCCCAAGCGTCTTTATGTGACTCCTAAGTTGCCTTAGCTGACTTATCCTTTAAAAGTCAATATATGCAGTATTGAATGGGATATTTGCTGTGGCTCAATTTTTTCTCTAACCGTCACAAAAGATATATATGTTAACACCTTTAATCAATTAATATCAGAAACTATGAGAGCCAAGGTAAGGGTAATATTAACTGTTTCCTTATAAGGAAACATTCGGCATTCATTGATCGAGAAACCAGTGGTACTATCAGATAAAAGTTTTCTGTTAAAACAATTTTTCAGTTCAATACCTGGCTACAGTAGAGGTGGACAGAAATTTGATGAGTTTAGTTACTAAAGGGAAATAACTAAAACTGAGATATCCAGAAAAGGTATGGCAAGCGGAACTAGAACAATCTGCCCCAGTGGACTAAATAAACGGTTCGGTTCGAAATTTCAACGTATATCGCTTGAAGAAGACCGGAGCGTACAACGGACAAAACGTCGTGAATATGGCAAGATGAGAACAGCCCGAATAGTGTAGTTACAACACCTCTTCTCAGAAATATAGACAGATCCTGAAAGGCCGTAGACTACAACGACCGAAATGTCGTGAATATTACAATAAAGATGAAGGTAATACTCCGAACAATGGAAATAGGGTAAATAGTTACAAAAACGCATCTCAGAAATATACACAGATCCGGAAGAAGACCGGAGCGTACAACGGCCGAAACGTCGTGAATTTGACAATAAAGATGAGGAAAACAGCCCGAACAAAGTAAATAGGGTAAATAGTTACAATACAGCATCTCAGAAATATAGACAAATCCGGAAGAAGGCCGGAGTGTACAACGGCCGAAACGTCGTGAATATGACAATAAAGATGAGGATCACCCAGTACGATGTAAATAGTGTGAATAGTTAGAATGCCTCGTCTCAGAAATATAGACAGATCCAAAAGAAGGACGTAGACTACAACGAGCGAAATGTCGTGAATACTACAATAAAGATGAGGATACTAGTCCGAAGAATGTAGTAGTGTAAATAGTTAGAGTACAGCATCTCAGATATATAGACAGATCCGGAAGAAGGCCCGAACAATGTAAATAATGTAAATAGTTACAAGACATATAAACAGCTTGAGTAAATGGGTGGCGGAAGAGTGCTTGGGAGAAATAACAGAAAGTCAAAGTTTATTAAGAGCTTCAAAGAGACTGGAAGTTGTGGAGAGCCATGATCATATACGTCGGGAACGAACACGGTACATATTGAAGAAGTATTCAGAACAGCTATTTATATTCTGACTCAGTCTTTGTGAGTGACTATTCATTTCATATTTGCAATACCTGACTATTTATGCTGGTCACATGATAGTTCTTCTAGCCACGTGATATCTCTCCGAGGAATATTTATGGTCTAATTCTGTTATTTACATCGTCTATTTGAACAGAGCCTGGCATATTTACTCTGAGTATTCGTACTGAGCGCCTATGATATTTGCGCTGTCAATTTATGTTGTATTACCGTAGGGAAAAACAAAGAAGGATTTTCTTCTTTATTTTTTTCAAGCATTTTATTTTATTTCTTTATTTTTTGAGTCATTGCGGACGGGTTTGCATATAGATTAGATTAAATACTCGTTTCATTAGGTGAAATGAAACATTCAAATTGGGCTGCTTATTTGTTCGGTACCATAGTTAGAGATCTGAAATTGGCCCCAGTAATCAGAGTTCGAAACTAAGTAAAATCAATGATTTCAAATATTGATTTACAAAGTAATCCGATAAGAAGTTGTTTAGAAAGAGAGATGAAATGTTTTGGTCGTCTGTACACTCCAAGATCCATGACAGGCATTAGTATATCCGTGATATAATAACGCCTTCTCAGGATTGGAAACAACGCAAAGAGATAGATTTCAACTATAACTTAACCATACAAACCTGTTATATACAAACATATAAATTTTATATTAATATGTATATGAAAACATTTTATATACAAAACATGAGTATACATATATGCCGTATTAAACATGTATATGTGTATTTTTTATATGTATTTTTTCTTAAAACAAAGCATATAGACATTTCAAAACTGAGTTACCTCCCCTGACGTTCACAGCGTGAAATTTAAATCGTGCAGTACATAATATTAGCATTTTTCACTTCATAATTAAAAAAAATCAACATTCAGATGAACACAACAATTTTGTCTTGGAAAAAATCAAAAACACATATATATATATATATATGTGTATGTGTATGAGTTGTCAGTATACCTCATAACACCCTTGAGCGCTTAGCCTTGGAGCGGGTAGAATGGAAATCAACGTGTTTTAGTGGACTCAACAGTTTTCAATCAGCTTGTCTGAATCGTCTTCAAGAAGCGAGAGCAAGATCGAAAAGGTCAGCCAATCTAACAGTGATCTCATCCCAAAGTCCTCCATATGCGGCCTCCTTTGTAAATCAATAGCGGGTCTTAAGTGGCACCTGAGAATAAGTTGTCAGATCCTCATACGTCGAAACCAACGGGAGAGTCCATTATATATATATATATATATATATATATATATATATATATATATATATCCAGATGCAGATACGAGACATATCACTGCATAGCCACACATCTCTCTATCACAATTTAACATGAAAATCATGGAACTGTGAAACCGGTAATGTTCGGATAAATAAATATTCTTAAAGAATCCACTTTCATTTTCAACTTTTTTTCTTACCCGTATGAAACATATAAATAAAATGATCCTACTTTGGTTTCTTATCTACAAGGAGAAAAATATCTACTTTGGCTTGTTAACTGCAAGGGAGAAATATTTACACCGTAGAAATTTTATTTTAGAATGATATCTACATGGCAAAACATATATATATATATATATATATATATATAACATAAAGAAAATATAATTAAAATCTATTCTTTTGTTTATATTCTAGTGATAAACGGAATGCACATAATGTAAATATCTACACCGTATAAATTTTAATTTGGAATAATATCTACATAACAAAACATGGTGCTACTTCGGCTTGTTATCTACAAAGAAAATCTTATATAATGCTGTACCTGTTACACTTTGGGGATATCATTACGAAATAATATTTGTACGGTGTACATATTTTTCCTTGTAGATAACAAGTCAAAGTAGCACCAAGAAAACCTTACTTTCTTATCTATCTATCTATCTATCTATCTATCTATCTATCTATCTCTCTATCTATATATATATATATGTGTGTGTATATATATATATTATTTATATAAATAGTTTGCTTTTGTTTACATGGAAGATTTCCAAGTTACGACAAACTCGTGCATTCGAGACACTGGAATTAAAAAATAGATAGGATTAAAAAATATGTATCAATATTGTGATTTCCTTTCTTCTTTTAATGATAATGTTATTAAGCTTATCAGACGATATGGTTCATGTGTGACGTCATGAGCTGCGAGCGATTTTCGCTTCCAGCGTTTCGTATGCACGGGTTTGTCGTTACTTGGAAATCTTCCATGTAAACAAAAACAGACTATCATTACTGTTTTATCTATCTATCTATCTATCTAAAGAAAGACAACGATTTCTGTCAACACAAATATATATATATATATATATATATATATATATATATATATATATATATATATATATATGTGTTTGTGTGTGTGTGCATCTGTGTGTGTGTATGAGTGTGTGTGCTTGTGTTTGTATTTATTACTTCAAACGTAATTATAGCGAATATTTCGTATTTCAAATAGACCTCTCCTTTTTAATTTATTAAACAGTGTGTATTACGTCTGTCGGCCTGCACGATTTTAGTAACAAAAATGCCTTCTTCGACAGGGATCTAACCTGTGTTCCTCTTTCTTGTGGAAGCCATCCTTGGATCTAGTGTGCTTTACCGCCAATGCTAACCACTTTTTTGGTAATATGTCTTTGATATCTGTTTTATTTCTCTAAGGAATACTGTGATCGGAACGCAATAACGTTTTAGCAGAGCGGATGTAAAATCAAATCTATGTTAAATTTATTTAAATATTATTTATCACAAATGGAATCATTTTTATATTCAACAATCGCAGCCCAGCGATTTTTTCGATTTCATATTTAAAGAAGTTTTTTCCCTCGAAAAATGTTCGAAAAACCGTTATCAGATTCCTTTTTGATATTGAAATGTTACAGCGATGAAAACAAAGACAATCTACCTTACACTGTATT